GGCACAGACAGGTGCCAGTTACATGACAGCCTCCCCTGTCCCTGTCCTTGGCTTTTTTGAACACTCCCCTGAAAGTATGCACAGAGTCTGCCCTGAGCTAGACCCTGAAAGATGAAATCAGCAAGGGCAGCTTTGCCTGTAGGCACCTCTTGGTTCCCCAAGAGGTGACAGCACCATAGACAAGTGCTGTAATAGGGTTGCATCCTAGTGTTTTGGGAACTCGGAGGGAAAGCCGTTAATTCAGCCTGTGGCAGTGGGCAAAGCTTCAGAAAAAGGAGGGGACTGGTAGTTAGCTCTGCCAGCTGGGTCCCACAGATGGATGTGACAGAGAAGAGCAGGAGACAGTCAACAATGGGCACAGTTAACAAGGCTTCCAGCTGCCAGGCACTGTTATGGGGGTGGTACAAGCTCTGACTCATTTCATCTCTGCACTCCAAGGAGACGGTGTTGTGATGAACCACACCATCACACGGAGAGCCTTGGGCACAGCAGGGTTAATTACATGCCCCAAGGTGGGGCCAGGGTTCAAGCCACAGACAGTGGGTGTGAGTCTCTAGGAGCACAGTGGACCTGACAAGTAGGGATACTGTCATTTCCCCAAGTGTCAGCCACCCTCAGGATATCATCTTGCCCCTGTGTGGTTTGGCCTTTGGTGGAATTGGCTGAAAATAGAGATAATTCCAACCTATGCAGTGAATATCACCATATTCATGGGGACATGGGCTCAGCCTGCTGTTTATTCACATACCGCATAGACACTGTTGTGTAATGGAGCTAGAAATGCCTGTCGACCCAGCCTTGCCTCCCAGGCTGGAATCTTGGCACTTACCTAGCCAGGTGACCTTGGGCAAGTCACTTCACCTCTCTGTGCCTCGGTGTCCTCATGTGTCAAACTGGTATAATAATGGTACCATCTCATGGGGTGGTGAGGAGAGTTCAAGGAGATCACAGATGTGAAGTTCTTAGAGCAGTGCCCAGCACCTCGGTGAGTGCTCAAAGTGAGTGTTATGTAGTAGTAGTAGTGTTGTGGGCTATTACCACGCCCAGTCCCAAGTGCCATCACTAGGACACAGCAGAAAAGAAAACCAGCTGTATAGTTGACGGGACCAGTGCCAATGTGCTTTGGTCTCTAAAGCCAAGAGTTTCTTGGCATATTGCTAATAAGGTAGAACAGGGCATCTGGGGTCCCTTTGTGTCCAGTGAAAGTGCTGAAGGTTGTTGCATCCCCTGACCTCAAAACACAGACACACACACACACACACGCACACGCACACACACACACTCCGGCTGCAGGTTTTCTGGCCTCAAAGGCCAGGGTCAGCCCGGGCTGGGGACCCTCATGGCTGGTGATTCTGCCCCCTCGCACAGGACCGGGTAGACATGCTGGAGCAGGTGGCCCGGGAGCATGAGCAGTACCAGGCAGACGTAGACGAGTTCCAGCTGTGGCTGAAGGCGCTGGTGGAGAAAGTGAATGGCTGCATGGGGCGGGACTGCCAGCTGCCCACCACGCACCGCCTCTCTGCGCTGCAGGTAACCCCCCCTGCCCAAAAAGTCCACTGAGGGAGCGCTCGATCACATATGGCGGGTTCTGTGTTACAGTTCATTTAGAAGGACAGTGCTGGATGCCATGGGAGAAGCTTGGAATCTAGTACATGATGCTGGGGCCTCGGCTGCTTTATGGATTTCTCCAAGCCAGTGGGGCATTTGGAAACCCGAGACCACAGCAGCCTGGTCTAGACCAGTGGGTCTCAAATGGGGAGCACTTGGCAACGTCTGGAGACATTTTTGTTTGTTACAACTGGGGGTAGATGATACTTCTGGCATCTAGTGGGTGGAGGCCAGGGCTGTTGCTAAACATCTGCAATGCACAGGACGGCCCCACAACACAGAATCATCCAGCCCAAATGTCAATGGTGGCGAGGGTGGCAAACTCTGGAGCAGGCAGCAGGTCTGCAGTCAGGAGAAGGGTCTTCTCCGGCCTTTCTCACTTGCTGCACGACCTCAGTAAAATGAGTAGACACATCATCCCCAGTCGTTCAAGAACCGCTTTATAATTTTTGCCACAACTGTGCAGCACCTGTACTATTTCTTTAAGGTTTGTATTTAAATTGACTCACTTTTTAAAAACTGATGAACATTTATTTAGAAAGTAAACATATCACTGTCATAAATGGAAAACCAGTACCCATTCATAACTAGCAGAGGAGCACACAAATAAACACAAACCAAACGGAGACATTGGGTTCTATTTGACATCATAGTGTTGTCAGCAGAAGGCTCCAAGCCTGAGGCTCTCTCCCTCTCTCTTTCTTAAAAAGAAAGATTAACAAATGTCAGAAAGTGATAAAAACAGAGAAGCACCCAACAGAGACTTTCTCCTTGACTTAATCAATGGCTTGAAAAACACTTGGGGAGGGAATAAGTTTCTCATGTTGCGAGTCAACATGACTTAAGGCAGACAGTCCACCTTGGGGAAAGCCCCGCTGGCCCTAACCCAGGAATCGAGGAATTGGTGTTCCGTATGACATTCCCAGGTCTGCTCCGAAAATGTGGCAATGTTTTCTTTTTCTCCTCTTGTTTTTCTCCCTCACGCCCCCATACACACACACTTCAGGCTATAGCCAAAGACTTTCCCAGGGGTAAGGAGTCTTTGAAGAAGCTGGAGGAGCAATCCGTGGGTGTCATTCAAAACACCTCTCCTTTGGGTGCGGAGAAGATCACCAGAGAACTGGAGGAGATGCAGAAAGTTCTGGAGAAGCTGCAAGTCATCTGGGAGGAAGAGGAAGGGCGGCTGCGGGGGCTGCTCAAGTCCAAGGGAGCCTGTGAGCAGCAGATCAGGCAGCTGGAGGCTGAGCTCGGAGAGTTCAGGAAGGTCCTTCAGAGGCTGGCCCAGGAAGGCCTGGAGCCTGCAGCAAAGGCCGAGACCGAGGACGAGCTGGTGGCTCACTGGAGACGCTACTCGGTAAGCAGTGTTTGGCCAAGCCACAGAGCAGTCCAGGTGCTGTCTGTGCCTTGGGATGTTGTTGCCACTCGGATCTCCTCTGTGTGATGGGAGGACCATGCTAAGCTTAAGCACGCTCACTCTGGTGTTCCCGGATCTTCAGTATCTAAGTTCCCTGAGGGGGTAGTTGACAAGTTGGTGTTTATCCCCATTTTCTGGATGAGGAAACTGAGGCCTGGAGATCCCCCCCACCCCCATGCCATGGGTCACATGGTGAGTTGATGATTCAATAAGCCAGAAGTGGATTGGGCAGCCAGGTTTAGGCCTGGAAGCCATTCCCCTGCCCAACGGTGGGATGAGAGGTGGACTTCCTCTGTGTGGAGCAGAGAACGCCTGATCAGAATGGAAAGCTCAGTGTAGAGATGACGAGGAATAAATGCGGTGGGTCCTGGGGAGGCCCGGATGCCCTCGGTGGGGAGTGCAGGGTGGGCTCCAGACCCAGACACGAGGACCCCCCTCCCCTTCACGTACACTTGCAGGAGGCTTCACTCGTTGACAGAGTTTTTAAATGGGGATGGATGAGCCTCCCTAGCACCTGTCTTTGTTGGTTGTTAACTCAATATCACGATCCCATAGAGGAAATATCTAAAAGAAAAATCATCCCAGATCCCACCTCTACCGTGCCACCATTTTTCTATTTTTTTCTCTCCTTTCTAATCTGTGGCCATATGCAAAAATATTTTCGCAGGTAGCTCTCTTTTCATTCAGTCCTGTAGCAGACAGATGACACCGCGGTGACCATCTTCTTGCAAAGGGAATGGTTTCCCCTTTAGGATCGTCCACTTCAGCATGAGCTGGAGGTGGTGTGGTACAGTGGTGGAGACTTGGGACCAGACTGCCTGGGTTCAAGTCCTGGTTCCTCTCCTCACTAACCAGACAGCTCTGGGAGAATTACTTTAACCTCAGTTATATGTAAAATGGAGATGATAATGGGACCTCACGTGTTCCCTTTGAACATGTGAAAACAGGAAACGTGCTTAGAATAGCACCTGCCAAAAGTCAGTGCTCAAAAACTACTGGCTGTTACCGTGAGTTCCGTACAAGGGGTGGGGTGAAAAGGTAGGACCTACAGAGCCATGCCACTTTCTATCTCAGGGACTTTTAGGGAAACAGCAGACACTTCCTGTTCCTGGCTTTGTTTTAGGAAACCTTTCGTACAGGGTCTCCTTGCCCACCATCCGCCCCTTACCCCCCATTCATCTTACCTCAATTATGATCAAGTCATGACTATGCAGAAATCAATGAAAGGGAATTTCAGAATCTATTACTAGAGACTTTTGTTCTTGAACTAGCACTCACGTAGTTACTGTTGATGTGTCTTATATATTATACAGCAAGGAGCAGACACCTGAGCTGCTCCAACCCAGCCCTCCTGGAGCAGGTGGGTGCCCAGGGACCAGGCCAGGTGTGTTGTCCAGGCAGCCATTCTGGTTTTGGCTGCAAGAACCTTTAGCTTGGTAGAGCAGGTGAAAGGTAGAGAGCAGTTTTCCTATCATGCACCCATGGTCTGGACAGGCTTCTCTCCGGAGGGAGCCCATGGTTCTGCTCAGTCTCTGCTCCCCTGCCCTGCCTCAGCCAAGTCCCTGCAGGTCAGCCAGCTGTCCTGGGTACTGATAAGCGAAGCTTCTTCAAAGGGCTTACAAGCTGCCAGTTCATATAAACCGATCGTGTCTTAATCTATGAAAACTTGTATAGATGTCATTACATGTGCTAACTAATTGAATATTGCCAGGATGGACAAGGCTGGCCGGGCAGATTCTATGTCCTGCTACCGACGCAGTGGTCCCTATTGCTCTAGCCCTTCCCTAAAGTCCCTCTATCTGAGCTTTCTCCCTTGAGCTTACAACTCTGGTCCCTGTTCTCCTGTGGTCACCCCACACAAAGTCTAACTGGAGCTGCCCCAGCTCCCTGTGAGCAGAGGTTGGCATTATCACAAAGGGCAGCAGCACAAGGCCATCTCCTGGAGTTGAGGGAGCTGAGGGGGTGGGGGACCACCTCTGGGCCCCTGCTCTATACCAAGTGCCTTGTCAATATCACACGACCTATGTGGTTGGTGGGCGAGGCCCCCTTTTATCAGTAAGGGAACAGCTCAAAGCTGCACAGCCAGGAGAAGGCAGAGGTGGGTTTCCAGGCCGGCTCTGTGTTATGCCAAGTGCCATGCACATCTCACTACCCACCCTGCATCCCACTGAGAATGAGCCCAGCAAGGGGCTGGGGTTCCTGCCAACCAAGGTTAAATTGAACTTCCCAGGACAGCAGGAAAAGGCTGTGTCTAAAGTGTGTAAACACAATGAAGTGAAGTGATTCTGGACCAGCGACCACAAATGTCTCCCAGGCCTGCCGACAACAGTAACAGAATTCACAAAACACTGGATGCATTGTTTCCTTTGGTGCTGAACAGACCTGGCTCTGATAGCAGGTCTGCCATTTAAGGGCTCTGCAACCATCAGAAAACTCTTAGACCGAGTTTCCTTGTGCACAATGTGGGGACACGGAGATGAACCTTCCAGCATTGTTGCTAGGCTTAAATGAATGGAACACCCAGAGCTCTCCGCATGGTGTCAATGATCCCTAAATATTAGTTTGTTGGATTATTAGGTGCTGGTCCTCATCACAACAATGCTTTAAGGTAGGTGATAATAAAGAGTGAAACTGCAGCTCGACGACAGTAAAGTTCCAACGACAGTAAAGTTCCAGGTCATGGAGCTGGATGTGGGACAGTAGAGGCTGAGCTTGAGGGCAGGGCTCCTGGTTCCTGCCCTTGGTGACAGTCTCTCCCAGCCTGTCCCACCCACACTGGCCACGCTCAGCCCTGCACACCCCTATCCCATTGAGGAGCCTCACCCTACCCCTGGGATGTCCTCATGTGCTGCAGGTGGCGCGGGCAGTGCTGGCCTCGGAGGAGCCCCGGGTGGACCGGCTGCAGACCCAGCTGAAGGAGCTCCTTGTCTTTCCCCATGACCTGCAGCCACTCTCCGACAGTGTTGTCGCTGCCCTCCAGGACTATCAGAGGTGCCTGGGCAGGCTGAGGGTGGGCAGGCGGGCGGGACTCAGGGGTGTGCCTGCACCCCACACTTTCCACCTCCAGAAGGTGGGCTTGCTTTCTCTTGCAGCCTGGTAGTTCTTGAGTAATTCTCGCCCCTCTCAATGACTGGCCAATACAGGTCTCGCTTGACTCGGGCACTTTTCACTTTTGACTGTTCTGCGTTTTGCTCCAAGAAAGCAGCCTGAACTTTGCTTTCTTCCATGCCAAATGGTTTATTCCCCATTTCCATCAAGTCTTTCTGTGCAGACTTTACTGGGAGGTGTAATGGCCCAAAGGGAGGCTTTTCAATAGACAAACCACATTCCCTTGCCTTCCAATGATGCTGAGACAAACATCTGAGCCATCTTCAGACCGGCCTCTGCCTGCCCCTGCCCCCCAGCCCATGGGCTCGGGGACAGCAGGGCCTCCGCTTTCCTAGTCCAGCAAAGAGCAGCAGACCAAATGGCCTTCCTCTGTGGAACGGAGCCAAGTGTAAATTGGAATTTGACCTGTTTTCCTTACGTGAGCCTCAGAGGTATTTTGAATGTAGCACAGCCATCCGTGCAGCTATAGCCCATCTCACACCTCTACCTGATACAAGGGTCCATTCAGAATGCGCTTAGGGAGCGCCCACCCTTGCTGTGTGTCTCTCAACCCACAGTGTGCTCAGGCCCCGCACTAGTAAAGTTGGAACAGTGGCCTGGATCCACTGTGGGATGCTACGGTGGTGGGGAGTGAGGGGAGGGTTGATTTTCCTGTGCACAAAGCAGACAGTGGGGCCGAGGGGCCAAGGGGCTTCCTTTTCCTCCAACCTCTTGTATTGAGGTATCAGGTGCTGGTTAGCTATGACCGGGTGTTGGACATTGCATTGGAAAACTTATTTATAGGCATTACTCAGGCCTAGGATGATGGTATCTTAATCAAGAAAGGGTTTTGCTTGCTTCTGTTCGGTGCCAGGGGCAGGCAGTACCCGTCTAGGGTCTCCGTAATTCATCTTCGAGGCTTTGGCTCCCTGGTCATGAAGCTGGGTCACCAGTCTGTTTGAGGACTGGCTTATTTGCAGTGCACTTTTACCCTAAGGGGTAGACCTTTGAGGTCCCAGCCCAACGTGGGGTGCGGCTGTCAGAATCTGCCACCATTGGTGAACCTTTCCTCTGAGAGGCTGCCAAAAAGCCTAGCTCAGTTTTACAGCTATTTATTCCAGATTGGCAAATGCCCTCAGGGTCAAAGTAGCTTTGGGTATTAGACTCACATTTATATTTTATATTATAAAATATATAATTTATATTATATATTTATTATATATTTTATTATATTTCATTTTATTTTTGTTCTATTTTATTTTTAAAATTTGATCAAGCCTTTTTTTTTTGTCCTCAGTGGGAGGGCTCATCTGAATTAACTAGTCTTCCATTATTGGAAAAAGTCTCCCTGTGACTTTTGCTTATCTAATACCTACAGAGACTCTAGGAGGGGGCACTGCGTCGCCCATTTTCCAGGGGAGGAAACTGAGGCTCAGTGATGTTAAGCCACTTAAGGTCACACAGCTGGTCTGTCTGACTCCAAACTCCCGCCTCTTTATACCTACTCCAGAACCAGAGGACGCTTATGTATCTAATTTATATGAGAGCCTACAGGTCCCAGGGAGCCCAAAGACCCGAGGCCTATGGCCAATGTCTTTTCATATCATATTAACCATAGTTCCTTCCATTACATCTTGTCTGTTGTCATAGACACTCCCAGAATTCTATGGGACAGGAAAAAGCCCACCCTTGGAGCAGCACAGGCTGAGCTCCCGGGGGGTCCGGGCAGAGGCCTCACCCCCAGACTGAGCCCACCCTCTCTCCTCTCTCGGTGTCTCCCCTCCACGGTCCTCGCAGCATGAAAGGGAAGAGTACCAGGCTGCGCAATTCCACAGGCATGGTGCTGTGGCAGCGTTTCCAGCGGCCTCTGCAGGATCTGCAGCTGTGGAGGGCCCTGGCCCAGAGGCTACTGGATGTCACCGCCAGCCTGCCAGACCTTCCCTCCATTCACACCTTCCTGCCCCAGATCGAGGTAACCGTGGTCCTGCCAGGAGGGCTGCCTGCTGTGGCTGGAGGAGGCTTTGGGCCAAGCACGACATTTTGGCCACTCTTCCAGGGAAAGGCTGTTTCTGGGCCCTCCAGATGTCTGAGTAGAGCTCATTGCACACTGTGTGGTGAGTCTTAAGTGCCCAGGAAATGTTGGTCCTTGCTTGTTATCAGGGACAAAGGTCATCCTCAGTTCTTGGGCAGAAGGTGAAGCCTGCTGCTGGCGTAACCCTGGGGCCCCAATCTGACCCTTCCCTACCTGGACCCTGCTCTAGGCAATCCTCTGGTGGAAATGCAGTGGTTCCATGAGAAAGCAGAGTATCAGGCCATTACCTTTACTATGGCTGCAAAACACAGAGGCACTCAGGCAGTCCCCGGGCTGACCTGACAGCTCAACAGTGGCATCCAGGACCCAGGCTCTTGCTGGGTCTAAGCCATGTCACCCCTCATAGCCCCAGAATGGTTTCCACGGCTGCAAACACGTGTGCTCCTGGGAACAGCACCATCTGGTGCAGGAGAGAACTGCACGGGGCAAACAGGCTCTCTCCATCGCCACTTTCACCTTTCAGCAGAGCAGCAAATCCTTCCAGCTTGGCACATGTCCCTTACACCTCATTGGTTGGACAAGGTCATACGACCATCCTGGACCATTCATCAGCTGAGGAGGATGGGACTACCCTCGCCGGCTTGTACCAACCATATTTATAACCCTGGAACTGGGCACTTGGCTGCCCTAACTAAATGCTGGTGGTTTGGTGATGGAGGAGGGGGGATGGCTGTGGGGTGGGTGGTTGACAGTGTCCCCACGATGCCCGTCAGCACGGAAGCTCTGATTTGCCTAGAAATACAGCCTTACAGTATTGTTGAACTCTGAAGCTCATAAAGTGCTTTTGTGTCTGGAGATTCTCAGACACATAGAGTGGGAAGAGACACAGAAGTGTCAGGTGTAAACCCCTGTTTTATGTTAACTTTCATTCCGACCATAAAAGACATGCCTGCTTGGAGAAAGCAAAGATTTGTGAAGAAGGAAGCAAAAAGCACCCACATCCCACAAGCCACAGGAGCACTGTTAACGTGTTGGGGACACTTTCTCTATCACTTTTTCTGTTCAGCTTGGTGTCCCTGGGAGATCGTTAACCAGGGTTAGCCCCTAACTCACCCTTGAGTCTGCCATAGACCAGGGCCTGCATTTTGGAGCATCTACCCTTGTGGTTTTCCACGTGGGGCTCATGTTGGAACAAGAATTTATTTTCTCTCTTCATAGATTTTTAAGCTGCAGGGCATGGCCCTTCCTTCCAAGGGTCCAGGGAGCCCCTTCACCCACTCCCATGCTCCAAAAGATCATGGCCCATCTTTTGGAGGTACTCCTCAAGGCTCCCCAAAGAGAGTTTAATGTATGCCACAAACGTCAATTTTAGGTCAGAAAATCCCAAATCTAGTCTTTACATCTGATGAAATCCATGTAGACATTTCCATAAGATATGGTCACCCATAGACAGAAGATTTAGTTAATTAATTACAATTTTTGTGTATTTGGAATTATGTTACATGGTTGTATATCTGATATTTTCATTTTACACATTTGGCCTTTTTCTCAGCATCATTTAAAGTTGTCAAAATAAAACTGGCCATTTTCAATGGCTGTATAATATTCCATTTCTGGAGTATGCCATAGTTGAATGTATCTACAATTAGAGATTTGGGTTGTTTCCGGTTTTCCATTGTCTTAATTAATACATACTGGATATCGATGTACACAAATTTTTGTGTCCATATCTTCCAACATCCTCCTCACTTTGCAGATGAGGGATCAGAGCCAGGGAGAAGTAAGGTTCTTGTTCAAGGTCACGCAGCCCAAGAGAGGCAGCGCTGGGGCCAGTCAGTGGGCTCCAGACTCTTGTCTAACGTTCTCATTCCTGTTTTCACACTGGGTCCGTGTCCTGGAAACAGCTTTGTGAGGCAGGAAGAACTGATTTTATTGCTGTCACTCGACAGTTGAGAAAACCAAGTCCAGAGAGGGGAAGCCACTTGCTCAAGGTCACACAGACGTTGAGTGACAGGGCCAGGCCTTGACCCAGGTTTGTGTGATTCCACAGCAGGTGCTTTCCCCACTGAGCTACGATTGCATTTCCATCTTGTTCTTCCCACTGGGGCTGATAGCAAACCGGGACCTCTGCGAGGCAATAGGGAGAAGTACTGTTCCTAGAGTGTGGCCCAGGATTCCCTGCACGGGAGCAGCAGCTGGAACAGACAGGGCCGGGACAGTGGTTGGTTCGTGTTTGGATCCCCTTTGCTGTTTGAGAGCACGTCTTACATCACCTTCACCCGCCTGACTAGTGGGATGGATTTCACAGGCCAGGGCTCAAACTGCCAGCCCTGTCTTTTCTTGACTCAGCTCCTGCGTTTAGCCTAAGAGTGACCTGTGGATCTGCAAGATTCCTCCAGAACTAGAGTATTGAGCCCCAAAAGTTAGGTGTGGCTAGAGTTCTAGTTCCTGAGGCTGCTGTAATGGAGTACCAAAACTGGGTGGCTTAAAACCACAGAAGTTTATTGTCTCACAGTTCTGGAGACCAGAAGTCCAAAACCAAGGTGTCAGCAGGCCCATGGTCCCTCTGAAAACTCTAGGGGAGAATCCTTCACTGCCTCTTCCAGTTGCTGGTGTTCGCCAGCAGTCCTTGGCGTCCACTGGCTTATAGATTCATCGTCCAGTCCCCATCTCTGTCATCCCATGTCTGTCTTCTCTTGTGTGTCTTGACATCGTTTTCCCTCTGTGCATGTGTGTGTTCAAATCTCCTCTTTTTATAAGGACACCAGTCATGTTGGATTAAGGTCCACCCTAATGACCTCATTTTGACTTAATTAACTGTGTAAAAACCCTATTTTCCAATAAGATCACATTCTGAGCACTTTTTTTTCTTGCTGTTGACAGTACAGTAAGATCACATTCTGATGTACCAGGATAGGGAGTGTTAAGACTTCAGCATATCTTTTGGGGGAGACACAATTCAACCCATTACAGCTGGTTAAATAATAATAGCTGAGAAGTGCGGTCTTTTATTGTGTGTTCACTGTGGGTCAAGCCCTGTGTTAAATGCCATATAGGCATTGTTTCATTTAAGCCTCTAATAGTCCCATGAGCTGGAATGTGATTATGCCTATTTTACAAAGGAAGAAACCAAGGCTCAGAACTGCCCGAGGCCTCCCAGCTAGCACATAATCCAAACTCATGATTGCAACTCCCCAGCCTAAATTCTTAACTCCAGTGATATTGTGTCTGGACTTAGTAGAAAGGGAATGAAGGTGACTCCCCTACAGTGAGAGGCTTGATCTCTGTGTGGCTGATCACAAATTAAATGCCTTCATGTGTATACTGCTACTCCTCCGGGAACATTCTCTGTGCTCCAAGGACTGTTGTCAATGCCTCCTCCTCCACAGAGTCCTCCCTAATTTCCCCAACCAGGTGTGTCCACCTCTGCCCTGAACACCCGCAGCACCTTGTCAAACTTTGCCTTTTTTGGCTCACAGTTCCCTACCTGGGCTGGGATCTTTCGTCTTCTCCCAGTTGCATGCCTAGCTCACTGTCGCTCCTCCACAGAGTCCTCCCTAATTTCCCCAACCAGGAGTGTCCACCTCTGCCCTGAACACCCGCAGCACCTTGTCAAACTTTGCCTTTTTTGGCTCGCAGTTCCCTACCTGGGCTGGGATCTTTCGTCTTCTCCCAGTTGCATGCCTAGCTCACTGTCGTAAATCTGAGAGTGGGTCCTCAGTAACATCACCAGGTATAAAGTGGAAGAACTGTGGCCAGTTGAAGACAAAACCTCTGGTTTCTGGAACTCTAGATCCTCAGTTAGAGAAGCAAGAGTTGCTTACCTATAAAAGTCAGCAGGAGACTGAGGCTTGGCACAGCCTGTTAAGAGTTGCAGGGCTTTAGTGCAAAAAGAGGGAGTGTAGGCTGGGAATGTGTAGGTTTCCTGGAGGAGCTGTGTAGAGTTCAGGCTGTGTGGGAGCCAGTGCCATTATATGAAGCATCTGAGTCCCCTTTAGGTCCCCTCTTCACTTGGCAGGCTCCTACACATCAGGATTCCACTGAGGAGTCACCTCCTCTGGGAAGCCTTCCTGAATTCCCTCTTATCATGCTTCCATGGGCCATAGTCCCTGTCAAAATGGCCAAAGCATTGCCTGAGGGGGAGTCCCACTGCTGTGGGTGATGGGGAAATCATTGATTGAGCAGAGGATCAAGCTTGTTAGATTTGGGTTCGGCTGCCAGGTGGAGGGTCAATTCTGGGGGGCAGCAGGAGGTCAGGGTCTGTGTGGTCCAGGTGAGCGAGGCCGGGAGTGTGCCAGTCAGTGGCAAGGAGAGGAGACAGATCTCCGAGACAGGTAGGAGGCAGAATTGTTACTCAGGCTTGGTAACAAGATGGATGTGGGGGGTGAGAGAGGGATCAAAGTCGACCCTGAAATTCAGGGCCTCCCCAACGCCTTCCTGCCAGCTCATGTTTGTACCTGTCTTTGCTGCCTCTTTGGGCACCAGCACAAAGGTGCAGCTTCCTGCACAGCTGCACCCAGGACAGGTGTGCTCCTGGCTCCGTTTCCGAGCTTTGTCCTGCCCGGCATGCTCCGCGGGTCACAGAGCCTTGTCTCTTGTCGTAGGCAGCCCTGGCAGAGAGCTCCCGCCTGAAGGAGCAGCTGGCAGTGCTGCAGCTGAAGAAAGACATGCTGGTTGGCATCTTTGGCCAGGAGAGAGCCACGGCCCTCCTGGAGCAGATGGCCAGCTCTGTGAGGGACAGAGACCTGCTGCACAACAGCCTTCTGCAGCGGAAAAGCAAACTGCAGGTGAGCATCACTGGCGTCAGCTCCACACGTGAGCCTGGATGCAGGGCTGGGGCCACCCTCCCAGGGAGGCTGGTGGCTCTGTGTCCTGATCTCAGCTCCACCACTTGCCACTGTGTAGCCTGGGTTTATCCCATTATCCCCACAGTCTCGGGCTCCTCATGTATAAACTGAGCAGGATTCTTAAACGATCCCTTTAACTGGCCCCCTAGCCAGCCACCTGTCTGCATCTCCTACCCCAAACCCTGTCCCAAATCGTCTCTGTACTCTGAGGTCAAACTGAACTGTCCTCTGCAGAGAGCTGGGGGAGGGCCAAACATGAAAACACAGATAAAAGTGCTTGTAAACTTCAAACCACCATAGAGCTGGCAGCCAGTATTATTAGAGACTCACTCATAAATGACTACACTCAATCAAAGACATAGCCTGGCATGTGTGAACAGCATATTCTTCTATGTGACAAATGTTTGCTGAGCATCTGATGATGATGGTAGCTATGATCTATGGGGCACCCGCCATGGGTCAGGCTCTTGCTAAGAGCTTCATAGCCTTGATCTTATCTAACCCAAGTAACTGTGAGGGAGGTACTTTTATTTTCCCAGTTTTACAGATGAGGATACTGAGGCAGGATGGTCAAGTAAGTGGCTCATGGTCCACAGGTGGCAGAGCCAGGACTCAGCCCATGCTGCCTGACTGCAAGTCCATGATCCCACCTACTGTGCCCTGCTGCCTCCATCAGCAGGCCCTGGCAGGGTTCTGGGAGCTGGGGGGACAAAGAAAGGAAGCCGAGGTCCTCACCCTCCATGCTCACTGGAGACAAACACATAGGCAATTACGGGAGACATCAAAGTGCTATTCTAGGATGAGGGTTGGCAAACTGTCTCTGTAAAGAGCCAGAGAGTGAAGATTTTAGTGTTTGTCTCTGTTACAGCTACCCAACTTGGCCACTGTAATGGGAAGGCAGCTGTACATGAATGTGCATGTCTGTGTTCCAATAAAACTTTATTTATAAAAACATGCCTCTGGTGGGATTTGGCAGGAGTTCTGGGGGGTTGTAGTTTGCCAGCCCTCTAGAATAGTGTTATGTGAGGACATTGTGGTGGCTGTAAGGAGAGACACACAACTCCATCAGGGCTCAGGGAAGGCTTCCTGGAGGGGGCAGCACCTGCATGAGGATGAGCTGACCAGGAAAAGAGCAGCCTGGTTGCAAGGGTCAGATCTTACAACAAAGTGTTTGTGAGAAAAGCTCTGAAGTTGCAGGCTGCTCCTTCTGTGTCTCTGCAGAGCCTGCTTGCTCAGCACAAAGACTTTGGAGCTGCTTTCGAACCCCTGCAGAGGAAGCTTTTGGACCTCCAAGTCAAGGTCCAAGCTGAGAATGGGCTTCAGCGGGACCTTCCTGGAAAACAAGCCCAGCTCTCGAGGTTGCAGGTAGGGGGTCTGTGGGGCCCGAGTCACCCTTGCTCAGGTGCTCAGCTGCACCTAAAAGCTGCTCCCCTCCTCCAGCAGTAAGCAGCAAAGCAGCAGCCGGCTAGAGCCAGAGACTTAGATTCTTGCTTGAGATCTGACCTTCTGTCTTAATAGAATCTCTGCTTATAAGTATTTACCTGATGGTTCCTGGCTTCAGCAGGATCTTTAGCACCCCCCAAACTGCTGATTCTCAAGCCTAACAAAATGATAAGTTATCTTTTTGTTTATTCCTCCCTTCCAGTGTGAAACATTGGTATTTGTTTTTAAAATTGCTTTGCTAAGTATTCCTAATGAGTCCAGGGGCCTTCAGTTAGATAGATCAATTTTGGGATTGAGAATGAATGTTTTAAAACACATGTAGACTATAAATAGGCTTATCATTGATAATAGTTGGCTGGATAAGGAGCTTGCTGGTTTTTAAAATGCATGTGATATGAGAACATTTTTTTTTCTCTTAAAGATGACCGGTAAGGGAATCTTAACCCTTCACTTGGTGCTGTCAGCACCACGCTCTCCCGAGGGAGCTAACCGGCCATCCCTATATAGGGATCCGAACCCATGGCCTTGGTGTTATCAGCACCACACTCTCCCAAGTGAGCCACAGGCCAGCCCTGAAAATTATCTTTTTAAAACGCAAGCATAGCTTATAGATGAATTCAGAGTGTTCTCTAGAAGATGTTTAAAATGGGACATTTTATGCTTTAAAGCAAAAATTGGGATGTGATTCTTTATAATGAGAGGTGGTCATCAAGTCAGATTTCACGTGTGAGTTTGTCCTCCAAGGTGTTGTCTGGTCTTTAGCAGAGTTTATTTTCACGATGTCCCAGAATATTTTTGTCTGATTTTTAAAATCTCACCAGCCCTGAGAGTGGGCTCATAAGACCAGCCATATGGTGTGACTGCTGGTGTGGGAGATCCCCACTGTCCTGGGGAGTCCCCCCAACCCAGGCTCTCCTACTCAGAGCCCTCCTGCCCTGGTCTGCTCCCCAGATGGAGAGGCAGAAAGGACAGCCCACCTGTTCCTTTCTCTGCTGCAGGGGCTGCAGGAGGAGGTGTTGGACCTGGGGGCACAGATGGAGGCTGCTAAGCCCCTCATTCAGGGGAATCCCAACCATCAGCGCAAAATGGACCAGCTTTCCTCCGACTACCAGGCCCTGCAGAGGTCTCTGGAGGTAAGGGGCCAGCGGGAGGGCCCGTGCTGCAACAGAGTCCTGGCCCCTGGACTCCTACACTCCTGGGGCCTTTCTCCGTCTTTCCTTTCTCCATTCCTTCCAACTTCTTTTTTTTCCTTCTCCCTTACTCCTCTTCCTTGTTCATGCAGCAATTATTGAGCACCTCCTGTATGTCAGGCAGTGTTCAGGCCCAAAGCATAAAGGCAACTTGAGCAAGACAGCCAAGGCCTCTGCTCTCCTGGGATTAGGTTCTAGTTGGGTAGATGGACAATTAATCAGGAAGCAAACTAGTAAATGCAGAATTCCATAGTGTGATAAGGGCCATGAGGCAAAAGAACAGAACGGACTGCTGTGGCCTAACAAATGCCCAGTGCACAGTAGGCCGTGCATTCAGCCACGTGCGCACGAGTCCAGGCGGCTGCAGAGCTTCGTGTGCAGTGCCCTCTAGTGGCCGCCAGAGATCTTTCTAGCATTCGCCCAGGACTGGTTCCCGCTTGGCGCAGCAGGAATAGGACTGGAGGCACCTTCCACGTTGGCCTGAGGACACATTGAAGCACAGACTCCAGGCCGTCCTCTGACGCTGATTGAGATGGAGTCCTGGGTCTGCCCTTGTAACAAGCCTCGAAGAGTGCATAGCTGGGTCTCTGGCAGCCACACCTCAAGAAAACTCAGTCTAAGGCAGGTCTCCATACTATGCTACCCTGCACTCCCTATTTTAATAATGCATATTCCTAACATCCTCTTTACAGTCCTAAAATTCATAGATAATATAAGTTACCCACACAGACAATTTAGAAATGTCTAAAATAGAAATTTCTATAATAGAAAAGAGAAATAAAAGGAAAGTAATTATAATAAAACAGTGTCCATCAATATATAAGTACTCCCAGATGGCCACACTCAAGACATAAGGAGAAGGTCAGAACTTGCCTAACAGCCACAAATGCCAGCAGTGCCTCTAGCGGTGTAGTTTTCTGAAAAGTCAACAATCCTTGATAAAATTCTCATCCAGCCACAGGGCAGTCTTCCCTTGACTCATACAGTGGGCACATTCCTGGAGAAATAGCACGTCTGTTAAACTGCAAAACCTCTTTGTGTTTGCTAAGCCCAGGTCATGTGGAACAAGCTTTTCACTGCTATGGATGCTGGTAGGACATGAGGAGGTCTTGTGGGATGTGGGGAGGTTCTGCACTGTCGGATTGTCCTCCCTGGGGTGGGACGGGAGCAGCCATCCTCTAACTGTATCTGCTGGTATCATCCCCACCCTCATCTTATCGCAACAACCAAAATGTCCCCATGAGCTTCCACGAAATGCTCCCCCACCTACAGAGACCCATAAGAAGTCTAAGAGACACATGAGGTCTGGATGAGTTTATTTGATTCCATTTCATAAACTAGCAGCTAGTGGTGTCAGGTCGAGGCGGGGGAGTAGAGAAATAGGAAACACCGTCCCCACCCTTGGGGAACCCATGGAAGCCAACAGAAGCAGCAAAAGTCAGCTTTAACACCCGCATGCAGGTGATGAGCCGGGCTAATCATTACAGGAAGCGGCAGCACTAACCGCGCATCATTAGGAGTTCCACAATGGTGATGTCCCAGTTCCATCGTACCTGTGTATTTATTGTTTACATAGTTCTTTAAAGAGAAATTGCCCCTCTTCTATTATTTTGGTACTCAGTGTTTGTTAGAACTAAGAAGTTCTAATGCGCCCTTCCCCCACAGCTGGGCCATCTTCATGTCCCCCTGGGGCATGTATCCATGTGGGAGACCACAGCTCTGGGTAGCAGGGAGCCATGGAGGGTGTTTGGTCTGGTGTTGGTTCCCCGGGTCCAGGAGGGGACGGTGCTGGTGCGAGCTCAGAGAAGAGGAGCCTTAGAGAGCTTTTCGGGCCACTATTGGCGGTCTGTCGTGGACAGATGCAGTGCACCCTCTCTGTGTCCCTAGTCTCTAGCATGGGTCTGGCGTTGGCCAGTGTTTGTGGCGTGCAGGAAGGCAGGGCCTGTGGGTGCCCATCAGTGTCGTGAGAACCTGAGCTGGGGAACACAGTGGGAATGGGGACTGGGCATGGCAGGCACTGGGGTCTGACTGGCTCGTGGTGGGAGGGGCTCGCAGGGTCCCAGGCTGAGGGACCAGGAGGATGGTGAATGGCTCCCCTTCTGGGTACAGTGCCCACCTTTTCTGAAAACCGAGAAGAACAAGGCCCCAGCCTCATTGCTGAGCAACAGATTGGCCCAGAAAACAGTACCCAGGGAGGGAGCAAAACACAAGACCATTTTGAAAAACTTTTTATTGAAACATAATCATATACAGAAAAGTAAACATCTAAGTGTACAGCTCAGTGAATTTTTAATTTTTTTTTTATTTTTATTTATTTATTTATTTATTTTTTGTCTTTTTTCGTGACCGGCAACGGATCGCAACCCTTAGTGTCGCGCCCGTACCAGACCGGGACCGGCAACGGGATCGCAACCCTCGGTGTTGCTCCCGCACCTCGCTCAGCCAGTGAGCGGCCGGTCTGTATGTGGGATCCGAACCCTCGGCGGGAGCGCCGCCGTGCTTCCCAAGCGGCACACTGTAGCAGTGCGCCACTGGGCCGGCCCACAGTGAATTTTTAAAAATTAAATGCATTCACGTTACCAGCACCCACCTAAAGCACAGAATAATACCAGCCTCCCTGAGCCCCCTCTGTCCCCACAGCCATGCCCACCGGTCCTGACCCTCCAGGGTAACCCTGGCCTCCGGCTTGTAGCAGCATAGATTGGGTTCGCCTGATTTTACACGTCATTTGGGTAGAATTGGACGGGATGTTTTCTCTCATGTCTGGCTTCTGGCTGTCCGCATGGTGGCTGTAAACACATCCACACCGTTGCATGTGGTTACAGGTTGCTCCCCTCGCTGCCAGTCTGTAGGATTCACAGTTCTTCCGTCGTGTGGATGTACCACCGTCTGTTTGTCTGTTCTACTCTCAGTGGGTACTTGGGTAGTCCCAGTTTGGGACTATTACCAGTAACAACACACACATGCCCTTTGGGGAAGATAAGTTCACATTTCCATTGGGTACACAGCCAGGGTGAGATGGCTGTCGTAAGGTGCCCCCGTGTTCCATTTTAGTAGATACGGACCCGTGGTTTTCCCAAGTGGTCATGACAGGTTACCCCACATCAGCAGTGGACCAGAGCTCAACCCCCACCCTCACTAGACTTGGTATTTCCATAAAAGTAAGATAGGCTTAGAGACATTTTAAACCAGAGTTGATCTTCCCAGGATAATCTCCTTGTGTCATGCAGAAGGGAGGACCAGGCTCTGGTGTTCCTGCTGGATGGGGAGCTCTGGGGACTCGGGTAGATCTGGGAATCCTGAGGGGCTAGGATGGCTCCTGGGGTCTCGATCAGAGCTCTGGACACCCTGGGCCCCCTGGGCTGTGCTGCAGGACCTCGTGGATGGGTGTCAGCAGTGCGTGCGGGAGCACTGTACCTTCAGCCACCAGCTGCTGGAGCTGCAGCAGTGGATCACTGTGGCCACGCAGAAACTTGAGTCACTGGGAGGAGACACGGGCCCGTGGGATGCAGAGTCCCGAGAGGTCGAGGTCGAGGTAAGATGGTGATCTCCTCCCTTGCATCCCCAAAAAGCATCCTCAACAGGCCAAAGCTCCCACACTGGGGAGCACAGATGTCCCCCCACCCTGGGACCTCACTCTGTGTTTGTGTGTGTGTGTGTGTGTGTGTGTGTGTGTGTGTGTGTGTGTGTGTGTGTGTGCTTCAGAGGCTGGTGGCTGAATTCCCAGCCAAGGAGGCCCAGCTGCCCCTGATCGAAGCGCGCAGCCAGCTGGTGATGGAAAAGTCTTCTCCAGAGGGGGCAGCTGTGGTCCAGGAGGAGCTGCAGGAGCTGCTGAAGTCCTGGAGGGCCCTGAGGCTGCTGGAGGAAAGCCTGCTGAGGTGAGAGGGCCTCCCTGGCCTCGGCCTTGTCTCAGATGACACCCCCTTCCCATCACAGAAGATGCCAGGGGCTCTGCTGTGTCCCAGGCATGGCGCCAGGTGCCTCCAGGCATCTCTGCACTTTGGCCCAGTTGGCGATTCCAGCAGAGGCAGGAGGAGCCAGGAAACACCCCTGGCTTGGGAGTTATTTAGTCTCTGGCCCATCCTGGCTTGAGCCTCAGTTTCCTCATCTGCATTAATGGTTCTGCGCCCCTCGTGACATGGTAAAGTGGGTTTAAAGTAAGAAACTGGACATGAGCGTGCCTCCAGAACATTCTGACACACCTGAAGGGTAGGAACTGACTTGTGACCAGTTGTGAAAACCCTAAGTTTCCTCGCACCCTTGATGCCCCAGTTTTGTTATTTCTTTGTGATCGGGTGAGTCCCCACCACGTCACTGCACTGACTGGGCTGAGTGTGTCTTCTCAGCCTCATCAGAAACTGGCAGCTGCAGAGGACAGAAGTGGATTCAGGAAAGAAAATGTTTTTCACCAACAACATCCCGAAGTCTGGGTTTCTCATCAACGCCACAGATCCTGTTCCCAGGCATCGTCTCCAGGTGAGTCCAGTGGGGCTTCAGGAAAAGGGCCAGATCCCAAGTCAAGTGATGGGGTGGGGGGTCTCCAGCACAGCCCCCTCCTTGCCCAGGGCCCCATGCACAGCTCTAAGGAGTTGGCCAAATCCTGTCTTGTTTGAGCCTCCTCCTGCTGTGGCCCGAGGAGCACTTGTGCCCATGGTACAGAGGGACCCAGAGATCCCAGACTCTGCAAGCCATGCCACCAGGGAAGGTCGTGGGCATCCCTTGGCCACACAGGTACTCTCTGAGCCATTAGCAGCAGCTCCAATAGGGAGGAGAGTATCAGGGTTGAAAACTTCCTGCTGGTCCCATATTGCAAACTGATCACACAAGATGGGTATGTTTTTGCACTGTAGCTATATTTTGAAAAAAAAAGAAAGAAAGAAAGAAAGCTAGCTACATTGTATCATCCATTACTTCCCATTACTGCCTTTAAAAAACTCCAGCCATGTTGAAAAAGAAGTTACTCCTTGTTCTTCAAAAACAATATGTCAAATTTTTCATTCTCCCATTTGTTCTTTCATTCACTCATCCGAAACACATCTAAGTGTTACTATTCTCCGGTGACTGGGCTTGGAGCTGGGATCCAGCTGTGAATAACCCTTCTGACCGTCAGGGAACTTAGAATCCTGCACAGAGCTTTTCTCTGTACTGTGCACCTAGCATTGCACTAAAATGCAGGTTCTGATCCCGTAGGCCTGGGTGGGGCCCGTGATTCTGCCTTCTGTCAAGCTCCCAGGATGTGCTTGTGCTGTGGGCCTCGGAGCAGTTTGGGGAGCGAGGAAGTGGGACCCACAGGCCATTAAAGAAGGGTTTATGAAAAGCGTGGTGCACGTTGGCAGAGGGCCCAATGCCGTGGGAGCCTGCAGCAGAGTGGTCGTGACCCAGTTCCAGGGCAGGGAAGCCCTCCTGGGAGAAATGAAACATCAGCTGAATCCTCATGGCTGAGTGGGAGTGGAGGGGGGGAGAGGAGAGAGGCACAGTGCACGGAAAGACCCAGAGTGGGAGAGGGCACACGTCCGAGGGGCCGGGACATGTCTGCTGGGGAAGGCAGCCCAGCTGCAGAGGCAGGCGGAGCTGGGCCCGAGGTTCTCAGGCCTCATCGAGGAGGTGTGAGAAGCCACCAGTGTATGAGCAAGGACTTAGCTGAGCCGACTTGCATTTCAGACAGATCACTCTGGCCATGGAGCTGGAGGGGGACAGGAGTGGTGGAAGGGTGGGACCACCGTATAGACATCCTGGTAAAGGATGATGGTGGCTCCCATTTGGGGACCAGGCAGATGACAGTGAGAAATGATCTTGGCCCCTAAATGTGGCCACATTGAGTAGAGATTCATTCCTCATACCCCCAGGCCTCTCCCCTCACCTTTTGGGGATCCTGTCCTTGTCCCCTCTGCTTCGGGTAGAATCCCTAGGACACATGGCCAGTGGGTCCTTTTCACCTATGATGCTTTGATCATGCACATTCCTGCAGGCAAATCTGCTCCAGGAAGAAGAAGGCAACCAGGAAGATTTCTCCCAGCTCCTGAGGAACTTTGAGCAGTGGTTGCAGGTGGAAAATTCCAAGCTGGTTAGAATCATCTCAGCGAGAACTGGCACAGCCAAGGACTTGAGGACCAGAGGAATGAAGCTGCAGGTTCGTTCCCAAGGAAAGGTCCTTTGCCCATAGGGTTTGCACACAAAGGTGTATTCTACCAGGGAGTTCTTCAAAAAGAGGAGCATATACATAGTTCATGAGTTATTTTCACTTGTGCATAAATAATAATTTTTAAACTTTTTTGGCTCAAATATCTTAGAAGAACTTTTCCTGGCATTCATTCATTTAGCCTATTTCTGTATTTCTCCACTTGGAAAATATCACCAGTAATCACTTGATTCTTTTATCAGTTAGCTACTGCTGCATAACAAACCACCTCAACAGTTTGTAGCTTAAAACAACTATTTATTTAAATCATAATACTGAAAGTTGGAGATTTAGGCTGAGGTCAGCTGGGCAGTATCTCTGGTCTTGGCTGGGCTCCCTTATCTGTCTGCTGTCAGTTGTGGGTCAGCTGGGTATTCTGCTTCTGGGAGTTGGCAGGCTGTTGGAGATGAGAGTGACTGGGTGACAATGACGTGAACCCCACCTCTCTTACCCTCCTGTGGGACAGCCTGGCCCTCTTATAGCAGAGGCAGGGTCTAAGAGAGCCAGTGGGAGTGGGCAAGGCCTTTTGAGGCCCAGAGTAGGAACTGTCATAACATTAATTCCCCTGCTTTCTGTTAGACAAAAAGTCACAAGGTCAGCCCAGATTCAAGGGGAAGGAAAATGCATTCCACTCCTTGATGGGAGGGACTGCAAAGTCATATTGCAGAGGGCATGGACAGCTCCATGTATTTTTTGTTTCTGTCCCCTTTCACTCCCACTGTTTTGAGGAACTTACCATTTTTGACCTTGGTTATGTTAATAACCTCCCAGCTGGGCTCCTGTCTGCCCGTTAGGCCCCCATCCAGGTAATGGCTCATTCCACAGCCAGAAGGACCTTTTGGAATCACAGATATCACCTTGTCCTTCCCCTAATGAAAACCTGTCTGCATGGAGTTCAAACCCCCGAGTTTATCACACAAGGCATCTCTCAACCAGGCCTCAGCCTACCTCTCTTTTTCCCAATTTTTCTGCCATTTCCCTGTGTTAGGGTTTGGATTTCTTTTTATTTATCCTGCTTGGGATGTATTTGAACTCCTGAATCTGTGTACTAGCGTCTTTCTGAAAAATTCTCTGACGATTATTTCTTAAAATATTGCCTCTGCCTTGTTCCCTTTCTCCTCTCCTTCTGTGATGTTGTTTAAACATGTTATTTCTCCTCACTGTGTGCTTTATGCTTCTTACCTTCTCTTGTGTATTTTTATCTTTTTGTATCATTCTGGATAGTTTTTCCAACCCATCTTCCAGTTCACTAATTCCCTCTTTAGCTGTTTCTCATTTGCTATTACATATGTCTGTTGAGTTCTTAACTTTTGTTGTGGTATCTATCCAATTCTAGAAATTATGTTTGATTCTTTTAACAATCTGCTATGTCACTTTTAATAGCTTCCAGATCCTTGCTGAAATTTTTAAGCTTGTCTTTTAATTCTTTGAACACAGTAAACATAGCTGTTTTACAGAGAGTATCTAATAATTCCAGTATCTCAAGACACATTTTAGAAATGTTTCTGTTGTGTATTATTTCTGTCTGTTCTTGTTCTTGGTGTCTTGTATATGTGTGTGGCTGCCTTGATTGTGTGCTGAACACTGTGCTTGACAAAATATGTGTAAGACTCATTTGAGATTTAGGATAATCTCTTCCTCAAGAGAGGATTGTTTGCTATGACCAGGCAAGTGAGGGCTTTATCATTCTGGGAACACTGAATCCAAGTCCAAGGCTTGAGGTTCCCTGGACCACTGAGATGACTTGGAGCTGGGCT